TTATAAATATTTAGACTTTTTGGTACGTATATATCACACTTTCATATCACCTTAAGGTGATTCCATATATCAACACGTCAAAATATTTATAAAACTTTTGTCAAAACTGGGTGCGCCGAATCATTTGAAACTTTGACACATGATTATGAAGCCCCTAGGAAAGAACGCGATGCTCTTGAAAGTGTATCTTTCAAAAAATTGTTTTTTATTCAGCCTAGACTAGAACCAAGATCACATTTTTTTTTTTCTGAAAAATACAGTTTCACGAGCATTGCGTTCTTCCTTAGGGACTTCATAATCATCACAGTCACGTACTGAAGTTTCAAGTAATTCGGTGCACCCAGTTTGGAGAAAAGATTCATAAATATTTTGACGTTTCGATACATAGAATGACCCTTTCATAGCACCTTAAAACTGGACGACGCCGTGACACGACTTTCCTCTCCAAGGTATTCATCTTGAAAACGTCAGCGAAGATTAATCCTATCGAGCAGAATTCTATTAAAAATCACTTAACCGTAAAAAAAGCCTGACAGTAAAATTTAGACGGAATTCTTTTCTCTTTCGGTGAATCTTTGTAATCGGAGCACGAGCGCTGTCCCGTCACCGCGGTGTTAATCTCAATGCGAGATTAATGCCCGTCGCGTGATTTCAGTGTGGAATAAGGAGTCGGGACGTCGACCCATATTCTTGCGCTTTTAACCCCGACTCGGGTAAAGCGTCGTCTAACCGCCGACACGCATATCTGGCCGACAGATTTTTTACGACGATACACCTCGCAAATACCTTACAGTACACCTTGCAAATGAGTCCACAAAAAAAAAATAGCTTCCTGAGCAATCACAGAAAAATGGAGCAAGCGTTGAGCTACCGAGGTCGATGCAAGAATAATTGCGGGATCTTTATACGCGGTCGATACTTAAAAACCGCGATTATTTTTCCAACGACTTATTAAAATTCGCAGCGGAGACAATCAGTTAAAATCAAGGAACGAGATTTTGGACGTCGCTCGACCGACAAACCTCGAGCAAACTCGGAGGAAGTAAGCGTTAATCGTGGCCAATAGTCCGTGTAGAATCTTCGAGGATCCTCGCCCAGGACGATCAGGCTCGTCCTCTTGAGACTAATCCCAAACTTCGATCGAAGGAAGTTTCATTCGGTCGGCTTGTCCCGCGTGTAGAACCAACGCGCTCTCATCCCACGTGCGTGCAATGCAGGAGAGCGCAAACACGTCGTTGCATAAGTTTATCCGGTGTTGAGAGAATCGCTACGGCCTTGGAATATCAGATGGAAACCGAGGCGGACGCGTAAAATGTTAGCGCGTCCGTTCTGGGCGAATTAATCGCTCTCCTTTTCGCGCGAGCCGCGAAATTCGCGAAGCGCGACAGAAGCGCGACTGCGATTCTTCTCGAGTGACTCTTCGTCGATTCTGCGATTTCTCGAAATAAGAATCTCCTCGAATCTTGACAGATGAATGAACGAATGAACGTGAGAAAGCCCAGTGCAATCGCATCTCGTTAATGAAAGTGATGACAACGAAAGTGGTCCAACCGTGATTGGCGTAAACTTTCCTAACCACGATTAGTTAATCTCGAATTAATGAAATTCTAAGTTTCCACCGACAAAAATCAGACGAGCCGAAGATTAAAAACCGCGGTTAGATAACTACCTGAGATCGAGCGGTTAAGTCCAATCACGCGTTAAGTAATTCTTGATTAAGGACTTAACTAGAAAGTTGCAACCGACTCTCAATTGTATACCTTTGATTTTAACATGCTCCAACCTTTGCAATATTAAATAAATGTAACGAGGTAGGAAATACATTTATTTTTTCTAAATGTCCGACTTAGTTCTCTTTTTCTGGTAAACCCGGAACATTGAGTGATTCAATTTGAAACAAAAAGGGCGAAAATTTCACAGGGAATTTCTTGCCCTTATTCCAATTGTCTGTATGACGAGAAGACATTAAATACGTTGCAATTGGTTACGCGGCATGATTCTCTCCCTCCTTCGCTTTCTTCTGTGTAAATTTAGTAACGTTGAAACTTGCCGAGAAGAAGTCTCGAAAAGAGCTCGATGGTATAAAATTGATAATCGTAACAAACCGTGCAAAATGAAATTCGGCGCACGACGAACCGTGCATTTAATGTCCGCCACTAAAAATCGTGGCACTGGGTTTTACGAGCTCAACGGGTTTTCGACGTAAACTGCACTCGATCCCGATGCATCCAACAGAAGGGTTAAGCGATTGATGCACTCGCGTATGCAGTCTGTTAAATGCGCAGTTGCGGTGCAGAAGACAGAGGTAAAGGAACTCCACGGTTCGGATTCTAGCTCGCTGCACTCTCACCGTTCACGATAAAAATATACGAAACACGGCATTGAGAAAAAAGAAGGGAAAGCTTAAAACGCAGATCCCCGAAAATACAAAGCGTCGGAGTATCCGATGCCACCGTTTAATTTTCGAAATTGTAGGAGAACAAAGGTAAGTTCCAGATGCGCCGTAGATCAATGTCAAGCGATTAAATGTATATACTCGTAACATTAATTAAATTCAGTTCGGATTCTAGCTCACTGCACTCATCGTTCACGATAAAAATATACGAAAGACGGCATTGAGAAAAAAAAAGAAGATCCCCGAAAATCCGAAACGTCGGAGTATTCGATGCCACCGTTTAATTTTCGAAATTGTAGGAGAACAAAGGTAAGTTCCAGATGCGCCGTAGATCAATGTCAAGCGATTAAATGTATATACTCATAAAATTAACTAAATTCAGTTCGGATTCTAGCTCGCTGCACACACCGTTCACGATAAAAATATACGAAACACGGCATTGAGAAAAAAAGAAGATCCTCGAAAATACAAAGCGTCGGAGTATCCGATGCCACCATTTAATTGACGGAATTGTAGAACAAAGGTAAGTTCCAGAAGCGCCGTGGATCAATGTCAAGCGATTAAATATATATACTCATAAAATTAACTAAATCCAGTTCGGATTCTAGCTCACTGCACTCACCGTTCACGATAAAAATATACGAAAAACGGCATTGAGAAAAAAATAAGATCCCCGAAAATACGAAGCGTCGGAGTATCCGATGCCACAATTTCATTGACGGAATTGTAGGAGAACAAAGGTAAGTTCCAGAAGCGCCGTAGATCAATGCCAAGCGATTAAATGTATATACTCATAAAATTAACTAAATAAAATCAGCAACGCAAAAATGTATACATGTCGCAATTTTAGAAAAATAAACGAGGAGCACGGTAGATCGCGGTCAAATGGTTAATCCTATGTTCTTATAAAATTGGTAAAAAATCGTAAACGAACATGAAGGTGCGGAAAACGAGTTTCGCGCTTCTCTTTCCCGCTCGTTCAAAATCTAACATACGCGATCGCTGTGGGCAAATAGCACGGTAAATTGCTGATTTTACAAACATCAGCAATTAAAGATGGAAGCGCCCAACACGGCGAAGCTCGTATCGGAAATTGAACACTCGTCAACAGCTACGGCGCACGCGCTTCAATCGGTTGCTCGCGTTTCGTCTGTTTTGCTCGATATTTTTTTTATTTAAAATTTCCTGCCGACTGCAGACCAGCATGCTGATCCGACACACCAGTCGAGGGTCCGATATCATCGATTTGGATCCATCGGAAACCCGATACAGGCTCTGGCCAGACATTTTCTCCGAAGAACGGACGAGAATAATCGATATTTCCGGCCGACTTGTGAACCGCACATTACTGCTCGGTGTCTTTACTTGACGATTCCGCCGTTCGACCGAGAGGGCATATTATTAGTCGAGGAGGCATTATCAGCAGCTGGAGCTCAGAATTATACTCACGAGCCGCATGCCTAACGTCCAACGAGACGTGTCTACGACCTCCTCGGGAATGTCTTCTCCGAGGAGTGTTTTGCATAATATTTAAAACCCGTTCATATAGCGCATCTTCGAACGTGCGTTAGTTCGCGCAATAGCACAGCCGTGCAGAATGTGACGGACCAGCCACATCTTGCACATCGATATACTTATTTAAAATGGAGTCGAAAAGTTCTGTATAATTTTTTCTTTACGGTGTACAGTTTACCAGTAATAAATTAAATTAAAAAATAGCAAACCAGACGCGTCGATTAGCGGAACGCGAACCGAAAAGCACGACGTGGGTTTGTTCTTGTCCCTACATCGCAGCATCGGATCGCAGCTGATCCACGAGTTACTAATCGACACGCCTAGTGGGCTATTTTGTCAATTAATTATTATAGCCAAATATTACGGACGTATCTACGATCTTCCTCGCTGAGACAAAAAAAATTCATCGAACCGAAGAAATATTTCTTTGGACAGTACCAAAGAAATAATTATTCTTTAAATTAACAAAATATTTCTTTGGTACTATTCAAAGAAACATTTCTCTGGTTGCATGAAATTTTTGTCTCATTGCTGGAATATTTTCACCGACGAAAGCGTAACTTAATATTTTGTGACCGTTCACATAGCGCAATCTCGAAAGCGCGTCATGCAAAAACCGTCTGCACGGAATGTAACGGAATGGCCATGTGCAAATCGATATCCTCGTTGGAAATGGAGTCGAAAAGTCCTGGAGAATTGTTTTTTCTGCGGTGCACTGTTTGCTCGTAATAATTAAACGACAAAATTGCCAACCATACGCGTCGATTAGTAGGACGCGAATCAACCGCGCTGTACTATTTGCATTACAGAGACAAGGACAAACTCACACCGTGCTTTTCGACACGCCTGGTTGGCTATTTTTTAATCAATTATTGCAGGCAATCTGCACATCGTAGGTAACAAATCGTACAGGACTTTCCGACTCCAATTCCAACAAGGACAGAGATGCGTAAACCGTTTTGACGAGCTAAACGCGAATTCGCTGGCGAATGCAATATAGCTGTCACTGCATGAACGCGCGTTCGAAAACAGGCTATGTAAACGAGCCACGGAGATAAATGTTAAACATGGGAAAAAAAGTCGTACTTACTCCCTCGTGGTCCATAAAATTTGACGGAGAATTCGTTGAGCCCTCCTAGGATTGTCACCTCGTGCTTGCTCTCTATTCTGTGGTCAGAAGCTAAGGTAAATGTAGAGGATTCTTAATAAACTGACGAATCGCGTCCCGGGCCTTCCTAGGAAAAGTGCCAATCACAAACTGATCGATCAATCCGTTCTTCCCCTTCCAAGGGTAGGTCGAATGCTCGCTCAGGTGATTGCAACTTATGTAAGCTGCTATTACTTGACCGCTAATAGATCATGTAGGAAGACTTCGCCTTTTTCACTGATTTGCATAATTATGGACTGATTCGATTAAGCCGATAATTGTTATACATTGAGATATTTGCATGATGGAACGATATACTTGATGACGCTTCATGTCTGAGGTGATCCCATGTACGTGAACTTCCGCAATATTAACTCTCACCGTTGATGCATTCTTTTTGAGAACATTTTAAATCGCAGGAAGAGGGAAAATAACACAAGAAATTAACGAGTAAGTGGTTATTTCTTTAAAATTTACAGCCTGGTCATTTCGACTGTCGTTTCGAGTAGTACACTGTTAAAGGATGTCGCAATAAATTCATGAAACGTGTGTTAGAAATTTTATGCAGATTCGGTATTCCGAATTTATAGTACACTCGGGGATTTTATTTCATATGCTCTTCAATCTTACGAGCCAATCTAGCAAATTTCCGACAAAGAGTGGTGTAAAGTTCGAAACGTGGGTGTGTTAGTACATTTACAAACAGTGCATACGAATTTAAATCGTCATGTGGAGTTTCTAACTTCGATACAACTTCGTGTATTTAAAGCCCGCTTTACGAACATTTTTAACGACGTACCCAACTGGTCTGATATAGTTACGTTTACCCGAGCTCACGAAAACTGCACGAAGCCCCAAACTCGGATTTTAAGATCGATTACTGGTACTAACCCCTTAGAAATCCTTAAATACCTGACGAAACGAGCTTTCATCTATAAGGGCTCACGTGTAACCAACAACGAGATTAAACCGCCTCCGGGGAAAAAAAAAAACTTCCCGACGAAATTCGTTATTCAAAAGTTCACAACAAGTTCATAACCCACTTTCCATAAAATCAACTATACGGTTAAATCAACTATACGACATCCACGTCGTTAGAATTATTTACGAAACGCCCAGAATTTTGTAAAACAATTGGAAACTAATTCCAGAGTTAATCGTTCTAGGAGAAAAAGTTCGCATAGTGGTAGTCAACCAATACCAGTACAAAAAGTGAACGGCGGGAAACAAAGAAACAGCTGATAACGATATATCGAAGGAAGATCCAGCGATTAAGCGTCTGTTTTACGAAACGCGTATATCAAGAAAGAAGTCGGGCATTCCAGGGAAATGTGATAATAATTATTGGAATAGGTAATTATTCCCTCGTTTAAGGTTTCCACGACTTCGTTTCAAGAATTTTCTTCATTATCCCCTGAGCTAGCTTGCGGGTGTTATTTGACGATTGTATCGGGACAAGGCGTAGATATCTCTCGCTGATTATTGAAAACTAATCACTGGTAAGAGGAGCTGCTGACCTCTCGAACGCAAATAAACTGAACGCTATCCCTCGACAACTAAGAAGCAAAGTGAAAAATAGCAGGGCGAAGCTCGACGAGAATCTGCACAGTGTACCACTGCCAGGACTGTGTGCGTCCCGCGTGTACGCCTACGTACAATGCGGGATATTAACGTCATTGAATGACTACCAGAAATAAGACGTTCACGTGCGGTCGAAACGATGAGGCGTTCCAAAACCTCGGGCAAGGTCGGAGACTCTTTCCGAAAACTGCGCGTGAATAGAAACCGCATTAAAAACGAATTCCTTCCCGACACTCTCTGCCTCTAACTGTCAGATAATTAAATATTAATTTGAAAATTTAAATCCATTAGGTCAAACATTAACGATGAGGCGTTCCAAAACCCCAGGCAAAGTCGGAGAGTCTTTCCGAAAACTGCGCGTGAAGAGAAATCGCATTAAAAACGAATTCCTTCCCGACACTCTCTCCCTCTAACTGTCAGATAATTAAATATTAATTTGAAAATTTAAATCCATTAGATCAAACATTAACGATGAGGCGTTCCAAAACCCCGGGCAAGGTCGGAGAGTCTTTCCGAAAACTGCGCGTGAAGAGAAATCGCATTAAAAACGAATTCCTTCCGGACACTCTCTCCCTCTAACTGTCAGATAATTAAATATTAATTTGAAAATTTAAATCCATTAGGTCAAACATTAACGAAGAATTTCCTCCAGGCCCTCTCTCCCTCAATTCTCGAACGAGCAATTGTTAATCTAATAATTGAAATTCATTAGCTCGCAAAAAATAACGAGAACTCAATGACTTGAGCAAACTTTAACTGCGGTTCCCGCATAGCGAATTGCCGAACGCGGAATTCTGAATGAGCTTGGAAATATTCAATAAGCAATCAACACCCAGTTGTCGACAGTAAATATTCATTAATACCGTCAATGGCCGAGCTCTGAATTGCGACGAAAATTTTACGCTTTGACCAATTAACCCTGCACTTTTCGTAAAACATTAACTGCCGAATAATTCCACTCGGTATATAACTGTACCGGTGCTCAGGAAAAACCATTTAATTAAATCAGTCCAAGTAATTGAATAAAGTTTCGCGTATGCCCGACATTAATTCCGTTGATACGCTGCATGTGAAAATTAGTTAAGTGGCTCCATTGATACTGCATAATTTTTGCATCGAGACAACGTAATTCGATCGAGCCAGGGTTTGTTCAAACTAAATGGTCCTAATTCAATTTGCAGTTGCTGCGATCCGTTTGGCCACTTTACGAGTAAGCCGAAGTAACAGACAACTACATAAATACAGGAGAGGCATGAAATAATACAACCACGTGCGTCATGGAGAATCGCGATCAGCTGTTGTTCCTCGTCCCGGTGCTATTTTCGCTGTCACGATGACAATGGAATCGGGGATTAAACCATCGGCATGGAAATTTCCATTAGACATGCTAAAGGAATGGTACGGCAATAAGAGAACCGTCAAAAAGAATGTACCGAGTACATTGAAATAAAAAGACCTGAATATCTCTATTCCCCACGAGTGTACATAACTTCTTAAGGTGATATGAAAGTGGCATCGAAGAGGTTTTGTTTATAAAACTTTTCTTCCAACTCGATTTACCGAATAGTTTGAAACTTTACAACCTGAACAGGGAGACTATAAGGAAGGTCCTGAAACTCATGAAATTTCAATTCCTTTCAAATTTGTTTATAGGTATTTTAAAAATAGTTTATAAAAATGAAATTTCGCGAATTTCTGGACCTACCTTAGGGTCTCCATATTCACGTTTTAAAGTATGAAACGATTTGAGACACTCAGTTCGTAGAAAAGTTTTATGAACGATTGAGCTTCCGGATGCCACTTCCACATCCCCTTAAGAAAACGTTACACTAAAAAGGAGCAAGTCCAGCAGTAGAAAACAAAAAAAAAAGTCCCCTCAAACATTTTTCCGAGATTTCAGCACAACATTTCTTTCTTAACACAGGTCCTGATGAAACAAATATTATCGCACCGAGCGTATTTTTTTTTTTTTCACTCATATTCCACAGTGTACCCTTTCGCCATATTTCGCTTCCAAGCCGACGCAATCTCGAAAAGGTTTGAAAGATAAAAAATAAATATTCTCTCAGCCTCCTTTTTCCCAGGCACCCTAGAATTCCACAATGGTCTCCCCTCTGCTTCTATAGGCGTCGAATTTGACGCGGTATCGAGAATCAATCCTTCCGAAAGACCTATTTCCTCTATCTTTCCTTTTCCTTTGTCTCTCCTTCTCGAGTCCTCTCGTCATTCGGAAGCGGAATCGACGAGCACTCGATGACCGCGCGATTTTACACGCAGTTCTGCAATGACGCAGTCACCAGGTTCCTTCTATACGGTATGAATAGCTCGTTGCAAGGAGAAAGAACGAACGGAAGAGAGAGTGCGACGACACGGTGGGAGTGTCAAGTAAGGTCGATCAGCTGGCGAGCAGCAGGAAGCCGGACAAAGAGCGGAGGCATGCGCCTATTACGCCCGGGTAAAGTAGAGTACCCCGATAGAGTGCGCGCGCCAAGTACACGCGACGCCCTACTGATTCTGCCTTGCGATCGATCCTAAATCCGTAGTCCCACTGAGCGCGCCCGGCTACAGTAGAGTACGCGCACCAAGCACATGCAACGCTGTACTGACTGCCTTGTAATCATTCGTAAGACCAGAGTCCCATTGAGCGTGTCGGGTGTCGCACAGAGCGAGGCGGGTCAACGCGTCGAGAATGAAAAATCATAACTGAGGCGGAAGCGAGGCACGTGGTCAACTCCTAAACCCTATCTTGGGTACTTGAGTACACACCCTACCTCCGTACTCTCCTAACTCTACTAATGTAAACATGGTTTCAGGTTAAATTTGCATCTATCACTTTGTTTGCGTACTGAACGTACACGAAAGGCTTAGTTCGTATTAACGCTAGAACTACCGACGTAAATTTTTTGTAGAGGATGGGCCATTTGAAACCAGTCATTTTGACTGGTCTTGGTAGTTCTAGTGTCAAGTCATCGTTTACCCTGAGAGTTAGATACAAAATACGCCTTAAGTTGATACGAAAAGGTCGTTCTATCTATCAAAACGTCAAAATATTTATAAAACTTATCTCAAAACTGGCCTTTTCCTTTCTCAAAAAGCCCTAAGAAAGAACGCGATGATCGTGAAATTTCATTTTTCAAGAAATTCTTTTTATTCAGCCTAGACTAGAGCCAAGATCACATTTTTTTATGAAAAATGAAATTTCACGAGCGTCGCGTTCTTTCTCAGGGCCTTCATAATCACGTGCTCTAGTTGAAGATGATTCGGTGCAGCCAGTTTGAAGAAAAGTTTTATGAACATTTTAACGTTTTATATACAGAGAATGACCCTTTCATGTCACCTTAATACACGGACCAGGTGATTGGGGTAATCAAAGCCTAAGGGACTGTACGGTTTAAGAATTAAGGACAGTTTTCATTCATTTTCCTTCCCCGACCCGTTG